GAGTGACAATCAATGTGTGTTTCGATTATGGATGACGTTTTGTAAGCAAGCAAAATCACTTACAATATGAATAAGAAACTTTTCAATAACTAATGGTTATTTTGAAGACTAAGCTTGAGAAAGCCTTTGATTTTGTGGAATGGAAGTTCTTTATAATCATTATGAGGAGTATGAGATTTGGGGCAAAATGGTGCCAATGAATTTTTTTTGTGTCTTCATTGTGAGAGTTGCTATTTTACTCAATGGGTCAATAACGAGAGACTTTTCCACATCTAAAAGACTTCAACAGGAAGATTCATTATCTCTTTTTTTTTCATGATTGCGGTTGAGGCCGTTCATATGCCTATTGTGAAGGCCAAGGATTTTAATCTTTTCAGAGGAGTTAGGACTTCCCACTTAAGTATTACCTTTTCACATTTGCATTTTGCTAATGATATTGTGAATTTCTTGGAAACAAATGCAAAAGGGGCAAAGAATGTAAAAGGCTACTTAGGTGTGCTGCAATGACTTCGACGCTAAATATCAACTTGGCAAATCTAAAGGTTTCCCAATGATATTGAAGAGAGCACAAGAAGAGAAATCATGAAAATCCTAGGTTGTAGATTAAATTCCCTTCCTTTTATCGATTTGGGAATCCCTATTGGTGCAAATCCTAGGAGCATGAAGACTTGGGAGCCTGTGGTGAAGAAGTTTAGGGATCAATTGGTAGGTTGGCTAAAGAAATACCTATAATTTGGTGGACACATTACACTGATTAACTCAATATTGAATTCTTTACATTTATGTTATCTTTTTATTTTTGAACCACCAAAGGGAATGATTAAGCAACTAGAAAGATTGAGGAGATCTTTTTTGTGGAAAGGGGGAGAAAAACAATAAAAAGATTGCCACATTAAAGTGAAGGTAGTATGTCAACTGAAAAAGGCAAAAGGTTTAAGTGTTGTTAATCTTGTGCAAAAAAAAATGTGGCATTATTAAGTAAATGGTGCAACCCTTTGGAGGAGATTGTTATGTGAGAAATACGGTGAATGTGTTTTGAGTTGGTTATCATTCTGTCACCACAAAAGTAAGATATCGAATATATGAAAAAAATATAGTCTACTTAGTAGATTTGGAAGGGGTGATAAAGTAGTGAAAATGGAGAGTTGTAGGTGGGTAATGGGTGATGAACATCTCATTTTGTTTTAGTTTCGTAAATAGGTTTCAAACTCTCCCTTAATAGAGATCTTTCCAAGACTTTTCACCGTAGTCAAAAACAATAGAGCTATTATGGAAGATGTATAGTTGGGAAATGGGAAGTGAGAGTTTGACTTTAGGCATCCTCATTTTGAGTGAAAGAAAGAGATTTTTAAGAACTTTTAACTACTTTCCAAAAGGTTTACATTCATAATAATAAGGACCTTTCGATATAAGAATTAGACAATAAGGGTAAATTCTCAATTCAGAAGGCGATGGCAATGTTCGGTGGCTAAACTCGTATAGGCGGTGATATAATGTGGTACTCTTCAATTTGGGAATTTATGGTTTCCCCTAAAATACAATATTTTCTATGGTTAGTGCTATTGGAGAGCATTCCCACAAAAAGTTTCTTAAAAGCTAGGGGTATTTCTTTTTATCATGAGAACTCTAGGTGTGCTTGGTGTGGTGTCGTAGAAGAAAAGTGTGTACACATGCTCTTAACGTGTTAGTTTTCATGGACAATATAGTGTTGTGATTTTGAGTGGGGGGTTATAATTGGGTGATGCCATCATCAATCTCAAAAATGATAAAGTATTGTAAAGGTCTTATGACAAACAATTTGTTACAAAAAAGGCGGATGTCAACGGTGAAGGCTACGATGTGGTCATTATGGTTAGCTAGGAAGTATTTGATATTCAATTCTAAGAAATGAGAGAGAGGCGGTTTTCATGATCAAAATGAGATTGAAGTTTTAGATCAATGCTATAGAGAATGAGGGGCTTCCCCGGAACTTGGTTGGTGGACATATCATGCCTTGGATGTCGGAAAAGTCATTAATAGCAAAAGAGCCGAAGAGAGGGATTTGTCGGCTTACCCCAAAGATTAGTTAAAATTTAACGTTGACGGTTCTGTGAAAGGTAAGCTCCAATCGGTAGCTTGTGGATGTGTCCTTAGGGAGAGCGTAGGCATGTGGTAAGCCTTTTCTTTGATCTCTTGGGTGAACTTGAGCCTGAAACTTCAGCAATTAAAACTATCTTACAATTGTTTGCGTCCTGTTCATGGAAAGGTTTAAAATCTTTGGCGTTGGAATTAGATATTTGTGTTGCTCTATGGTGGATATCTAAACCGAATGATAGTCATAGGCGATGTGGAAAGTGTTTGCTAAAATTGACAGTTTGCAAAGAGTGATCAGAGAAGTCACTTACAGGGAGGCTAAATGCTTCATCGATTCTGTAGCAAAAAAATGGGGATCGATAGGCCTAATATGTTTAGCGCATGTTGTTGAAAAGGGGCCCTGAGTGACATGATTCCCACTGGGATTGATGTTTCTGTTCATGACCTTTACCTTGTAGTTTATGATGTAACGAGCTGCATAGTGCTTGTAATTATATTTTTGGCTGTTCTAGCATTAACTGGTGTTTATGCTGTTTTTCCAGGTCCTTGACTTGGACAAGCTATGTTTCTATAAATAAAATGGACCTGTTTGAAAAAAAA